CGAGCGGGGACGCCCGGGGCCTGGCTCAGCGGACTGTCCGCCGCGAGGGACCCGCCGGGTGGAACGCCCGGAGCGTGGGCCGTGTGCTGAGCCAGCCGGGCCGGATTCTTAATGGGAGGCGAGTGAGCGGGTTGTTCATGGCGGCCGCGGTCTGCGGGCCGTGTCGGGTGGACCCCGGCCGCGGCTGGGGTCGGGCTGCGTCCCCGAGCCCGGGACGTGCCTTCAGCTCGCCCTTGCTGCTGCGCCCCCCCGCTGTGCTCCTCCCTCCGGGGCAGGTGTGTGGGAGCCGAGCGGGTGGGCCGGACGCGCGAGGGGTGGCGAGCACGGGGAAGCCCGACTTGGGGGCGCAGTTGCTTCTGCCTGCCCCTGCGGGAAGCAGGCAGAGCAGATTGGCAGATGTGGGGTCCTGTGACGTTGGGAAGGTTAGAAGAGCTATTTTTTACGTTCCGCTAAGATGCCCTGCAGACCCCCAAAATAGCTTCGTGTGTTAAGGTCTAGGGAGAGCCGGGTGGTGGTGCACGCCTGTAATCCCAGCGCTGGGGAGGCCGAGGCTCACGCAGGACCATCGCCGTGAGCTCGAGGCCAGCTACGCTAGTTCACGGCGGTACTGCACTGCACAGTAAGACCCTGCCTCAAAAAAAAAAACAAACTAAGGAATTTGTGCTGTTTTTAAGCTGGTAATTCAGCTTCTGAGGAAGTCATACCGCTCTTTTATGGTTGAAATTTGGAATTCACAGGGCTAGAGATAATTCTCTTCCTTTCTGTCCTTGAGCATGACTATCTTTTGCATCACGTGACAACAAGCCTTTGTTTAACACGTTTTCCTGGACATGATGGTGCACACCTGTAGTCCTAGCACTCGGGGGGGGCTGAGGCAGGAGGATTGTTGCGAGTTCGAGGCCATCCTGGGCTACAAAGTGAGTTCAAGAGGAGCCTGAACTGCATAGTGACACCGTGTCTCAAAAAGACCAAAAAAAAAAAAAAAATTCAAAAAACTTAAGTAAATAAATTACTTGCTTTAAAAACTGAGAATTTTGGGGCAGGGACATAGCTCAGTGGCACAAGCGCCTGCCTGGCAAACGCAAGGTCTTCAGTTTGATTCCCACTACCAAAAAAAAAATAAATAAATAAATTTTTTTTTTGTCTTTTTTTGAGACAGGTTTTTGCTGTGCAGTTCAGGCTTGAGCTTGCTTTGTAGCCCAGGCTGGCCTGGAACTTGCAACAGTCCTCCTGCCCTCAGCCTCCCAAGTAGTGGGATTACAGGCATGCGCCACCACACCCAGCCAAAAAATGAGAATTTTAGACTGAACTAATATATGATTGTCATTCTGCAGCGACTTTGTGCCTTAATAAGTTATTGTTCTTATCTTCTAGTGCTTGTGCAATTGAACACAACAAAAGTATGGATATGGGAAACCAACATCCTTCCATTACTAGACTGCAGGAAATTCAAAAGGAAGTGAAAAGTATAGAACAACAGGTAATCAGCTTCAGTGGTCTGTCAAGTGACAAGAATTACAAGAAACTGGAGAGGATTCTAACGAAACAACTTTTTGAGATAGACTCTGTAGATACAGAGGGAAAAGGAGACATTCAGCAAGCCAGGAAGAGGGCGGCACAGGAGACAGAGCACCTTCTCAAAGAGCTGGAGCAGAACGCAAATCACCCACACCGCCTCGAAATACAGAACATCTTCCAGGAGGCCCAGGCGCTCGTGAAGGAGAAGATTGTGCCCTTTTACAGCGGAGGCAGCTGCATAACTGATGAAATCGAGGAGGGCATCCAGGATATCATTCTGAGGCTGACACATGTTAAAACAGGGGGGAAGATCTCTTTGCGCAAAGCACGGTATCACACTCTCACCAAGATCTGTGCTGTGCAGGAGATTGTGGAAGACTGCATGAAAAAGCAGCCTTCCCTGCCGCTTTCTGAGGACACACATCCCTCTGTCGCCAAGATCAACTCCGTGATGTGTGAGGTGAACAAGGCCAGAGGGGTCGTCGTGGCGCTGCTGATGGGTGTGGACAGCAGTGAGACCTGCAGGCACCTGTCGTGCGTGCTCTCGGGGCTGCTTGCTGACCTGGATGCTCTAGACGTGTGTGGCCACACAGAGATCAGAAACTATCGGAGGGAGGTAGTGGAAGACATCAACAAGTTACTGAAGTATTTGGATTTAGACGAGGAAGCTGATACGACTCACGCGTTTGACCTGAGACAGAACCATTCCATTTTGAAAATAGAAAAGGTCCTCAAGAGGATGAGAGAAATAAAAAAGGAATTTCTTCAAGCTCAGAACCCTCCCGAATTGTACCTGAGCTCCAAGACAGAACTGCAGGCTTTGATTGGACAGCTGGATGAGGTGAGTCTGGAAAGAAACCCCTGCATCCGGGAAGCCAGGAGAAGAGCCGTGATCGAAGTGCAGACCCTGATCACGCACATCGACCTGAAGGAGGCCTTGGAGAAAAGGAAGCAGTTCACCTGCGAGGAGCACCCGTCCCACAAGGCCGTCTGGGAGGTTCTGGGAAGCCTGTCGGAGATCCAGGGAGAAGTCCTCTCATTTGACGGCAATCGAACCGATAAGAACTACATCCGGCTGGAGGAGCTGCTGACCAAGCAGCTGCTGGCCCTGGACGCCGTGGACCCGCAGGGCGAGGAGAGGTGTAAGGCTGCCCGGAAACAGGCCGTGAAGCTGGCCCAGAACATCCTCAGCTATCTCGACCTGAAATCCGACGAGTGGGAGTACTGACGGGCAGAGCGCTCGCTTTGTCTCTCTCGCTTCACACGTGGTTGTCCTTCTATGTATTCATGGAGCGCTTGCAGCTCGTGGAGCCTAAATGTGATTTATACGTGCATATTTCAGTCTCAGTATTTATGACTTACGCAAATTATATTCAGGATCTCTGCTGCTTTTGATGTTGCAAAACAAATATTATTACAGCTCATGAACCTTTCCATTTGGATCATCCATATGCTGTGTGTTTCTTTGGTTTGTTTCTTGTGTTTCACTTGTGAGTTTTTAATCAGAAAATGAAGTAGAGGCAGCATTCATTCTTTTTTGTTTTTTGTTTTTGTTTTGTTTTTTGGTACTGGGAATCGAACTCACGACTTTGCACTTGCCAGGCAGGTGCTGTGCCACTGAGCTATATCCCTGGCCCTTTGTGTTTTGGGTTTTTTTTGAGACAGGGTCTCACTATGCAGTTCAGGCTGGCCTTGAACTCACTTTGTAACCCAGGCTGACCTTGAACTCACAGCAATCCTCCTGCCTCAGCCTCCTGAGTGCTTAGGTTACAGGTGGGTGGTGTCTCTACACTTCGCATCATTATAATTTTTAAATGGGTTGTGGAAGCATTAAAATGCAGAAATCTCAGGATCAAGAAATAGAGGTAATGTTACATAGTAGGGAAATTATGAGAAGGGGAAATTTTTGGTAGAGTTTAAGGAATAAGTTTTATTATGCTAAATAAAGCAGAAGGGTTTTTTCACAGAAGGGTTTTTTTAAGCCCTGAATGGTCCCTGTAAGGAGGTGAGATCGCTTATGTTTGTGTTTGTTTGTATTGTCTGTTCTTTCATAAACATTTTTGTTTGAAAAAAAAATTCAGTGTCTCTTTTTCCCCATACTCTGCAATTTGGAGGGGGCAGTCTTGTATACAAGAAAATTATGAAAACTAGCAGCCAAAAAAAACCTTTTGAGACTGCACTGCAGAGGGGATGAGGCATCACCTACTTAGTACCTTCAAATAGCTTTTGCTGAACTGAAAATTTTCCTTAGTGATAAGTAAGAAGGGGAACAGTTAAATGAAGCCAGTGGACCTTAAAAAAAAAGACACCTATCCCTGTAGTTGGGGAATGAAAGCTGGGTTAGTTTACAACATCGTGTTACACTAAAGCTGAATAGAAACATCTGACTGTAGCTGGTAGTGGATTTCCTCTGTTGGTCGAGGCTGTAAGATAGACAGGCGTGCTGAACACACCCAGAGCTGTCTCAGCCACTGTCCAAAGCATGGAGGGGCCAGGCTCTGCCTTCTCTGAGAAGTTAGCCAGGGCCTGCGGACCTTAAATGCCAGCCGCCTCTGCCCAGGCACCAGGCTCTGTAGCTCCTGTTTCTGGTGTGGGGATTTCTGTGTTTCCTGGAAGAACCACTAGAATTGGTCAGGCAAGCAGTTGTTTTCTTGTGCTAAAGGGCACATATATTTATGTAAATACTTTCTAAGGATCATTTTTCAGTTGCTTATTAATGTGAGCAAAAGAATTCCCCCAAATTTTGTGGTGCCTGGATAATAACGTGGGCCCAGGCTTTTAACCACCAGGCAGCCTCTGTAGTCGTTTCTGCAGGCCCTATGAGTGTGTACCTTTTCAACTTTATGGTGAGCTGTGATTTTCTCTCAGACAATAATTTGGTAGCCTCTGTGTGGGGAAACTCACTTTAGACAGCTAAAGTTTATGACTGATAAAGGAACAACTTTCAGCACCGAAAAGATGATAAAAATAAAGTCATACACCGATCATTTTGTCTCATTAAAAGGCCTCGTGTTTCTCCTACTAGGAATGTTCTAGAAATACTGGACCCTGGGATCAGAGGGAATGGGGTCTGAGAACAGTGAACCCTTTCTACTGCAGGCCCTCAATGTAAGTCGCTGGAGTTCTTGTTTTTGGCAGAGTCATTTTAGGATTGCTTTTCAGTATTATAAACTTAGTTTTTTTAAGACAAGGTGTTGCTGTATAGTCCAAGATGGTCTTGAACTCACTTTATAGTCCAGGCTGGCCTCGAACTTAGAGCAGTCCTGCCTCAGCCTCCTGAGTGCTGGGATTGCAGGTGTGTGCCACCACACCCAACAGTATTACAATTTTAGGACGCTCTTACAATCTTGAAGAGTTTCTAAATTGTGGTCCCTGGAAAACCAAGTTACACCATAATCTCTTCAGACAAATCTTTGCCAGGTTCTTCTAAATTTTCATCTCATTTTTGAGAGTTGAGCGCTGGCCTGTCCCTTAGGAGTGGCCTTTGTCCTGTGGAAGCAGACATGCTGTCTCCAGTGCTTCCTGCGCCGTGCTGTGCGGAGACATCACGCTCCACAGGATGCCGCTCTGGGGGTGCCTTGTCGCGTGGCTTTGTTGTAGCCTGCATCCCTGAGGGCTCCCTCACCAGCCCGCAAGCCCCGGCCAGGCTAAGACTGTCAGTGTGGGCTGTCAAGAGTGACTCAAGTCGGTGGTCACAGAGCTGCACTTACGAGCTCAGGTGAAGCGGCTCCTTCTGCAGGCCGGTCCTGCTCCCCAGTGCAAGGCCTGAGGGCTGCACTGAGTGACGTCATCCATGTTTGCACAAAACCAGGCTATGAATGTTTCCTTCACCCCAGCTGTGCTTTCAGGTCACGGTCCAAATAAAGCCAGTCCTGCAATGAAGTAGTGACTACGACAAATGTAGTAAATATGGCTACTAAGTATAGTTTGCTTTATTTTGCTGAAATGCCCCTATATTTGCTGTGCTGATGTTTACCAGTTTTGTTTTGCCTGTTGCTACCCAATCTTTATTTATTTATTTATTTATTTATTTGTCTTTTTGAGGCAGGGTCTTGTTATGCAGTTCAGGCTGGCCTTGAGCTCATTTTGTAGCCCAGGCTGGTCTCAAACTCTCAAAGATCCTCCTGCCTCAGCCTCCCGAGTGCTGGGATTACAGGTGTGCACCACCACGCCTGGCAGCTACCCAATTTTTGAGGGTCTATGCTTACTCTGTATGCAGTTTTTAACTGGTAGGGCACTTTTCCCTAAAGAATAATTGTACCAGTACTTAACCTGGGCTTGATGTGTAACACGGGCGTGTCTTCCAGTGTATCGGGTCCTGTCCCCGTTGACTGTGACTATTGTATGAGGGCTCTGAAGGAATCGAGGACTGGTGGACAGACAGGAGCACACCCGCATTCTCACTAAAATAGAGGCAGCCCTCAGCCCTCTGCACGTCTCGGTGGCCGGGCGGGATGTCCGTGTGAGGGGTGAGTTCTGTCCCCCTAGGGGCTGGGATCCTCTACCTGGGTGGCCAGGCCCAGGAGAAGAGGCGGCTCCTCATAGTGGGCAGCAGTGACTAGCACTGGGCCAGCGGGAGTGTGGCTCACCCTGCTGTGCCTGAGATGCCCCTCCCAGGCCTGGCAGCACAGGCCTGAGCTTATTTGTAGGAAGGGGCTGCCATTCTGTCCCCAGGAAGAGCCTGTTGCACTGTGCTGTTGGGACATCACCGCCCCTTGCTGGCAGTGTGGGGAGCTGGCCACGTCGCACTGACGAAGTGTTGGCCTCCTGGGCAGAGTGTGATGCCCCCACGCCTGGACTGCAGGTGTGCAGGTCCCTCTGGGCGCTGCCTGTCAGGGTCTGTTTCTGTCTTTCTGATTCAGCCTTTTCCTGCCAGTGCTTCGGTCTCCTGCATGCTGGCCGCTCGGGGAGGTTCCCCATAGAGCAGAAGCAGAGGCAGCCACAGTTTCCTGTTTGTGACAGGGTCCTGCTCTGTGGCCCAGGCTGGTCTGGAGTTTGAAGTCCTCCTGTAACAGCCTCGTGAGTGCTGCAATTACAGTCATGTGCCACCATACTCGGCCATGGAATTTCCTGATATGCTAGAAGTAGGGGGAAAGAGTTATATAGATTAAAAAGAATACGGGGCCAGGCATGGTGGTGCAGGCCCATAATCCCAGTGCTCTGCAAACTGAGGCAAGATTGCAAGTTCAAGCCCAGCTTGGGCAATTCAGCAAGACCCTGGCTCAAAAAAAAAAAGATGAAAAGATGTAGGTCAGTGGACATGTTGATTTCAGTCTCCAGTAGTAAAAAGAAAAACCAAGATTCCATGGGGGACATTTGGAATTCCTGGGGTCCTCTGTGCAGAGGGGATGAGCACTTCGGACCCCGTGACATCCCGGCTGTGTGGCCCACCGTGTGCTCAGCACCGTTGAGATAGCAGTGTCCATCACCCAGTCCCTGGCGGAGGAAGGCAGTACCCTGGACCCAAGGGCAGGAGGGTCGGCCGCTCGGGTCGGCCGAGCAGAGCACCTGGGAGAGCTCTGTGGGCTGCGGGGGTGGGCTCTGCTTCCACGGTGCACGCTGAGCCGGAGGAGGCCTTGGCGGCAGCCCTGGGTCGCCCATGCTTGTCTCCATGTGTGTGAAGCCCCTGCATTTCCTGTGCTGTAACTAGATGCCTCATCTTTTAAGCTACTGACTGAAACTTTCTGCATGCCAAGCCCCGCGCAAAACACTCGCCCTTCGAGCAGGCTTTACTGTGGGCTCCGCTGTAGGCTGCTGCTGCCGACCCCAGGTCCCACACCAACAGCAATTCTGCGCAGTGAGGCAGTGGCAGCCCTTGGGCCCCAGAGATCCGGTTCAGTCAGTTTGAAGGGGAGCAGGGGGCCCCAAGAACTCCAACAAGGAGACAGCCAGCAGGCCCGGGCCTGGGTCACAGCTCTGCCCCTGAAAGGCGGGGGGAACGCCGAGCTTGCCTCTTGGCACCTCCTGTCAGGATGCAGGGCCGCCTGGTCAGACAGCATGCCTGCGGCTCCCGCGTCACCCATCGCGGAGCCGTCCGGGTCTCACGCCATCCCAGGGGCTCCTGACTGCAGAAGCTTATCTTTCCACCCAACACCATGGCCGGTCTTCTCCTTCCCAGGCTGCTGCCTGTGTCTGACTTTCAAGCAGAGCAGCTCCTTCCGGGGAGGAGAAAGGCCTTTTAGAGCTGGGCATGGTGGCATACACCTGTAATCTCGGGAGGCTGAGGCAGTGGGATTCCCATGAGTTGTTCGAGGCCCTGTTTCAAAGAAAAAGCCTTGGGGCTGGGGATTTAGCTCAGCGGCAAAGAGCCTGCCTGGCAAGCGCAAGGTCGTGAGTTCAGTTCCCAGTACCGGAGAAAAAACACAAACAAAGAAAAAGCGCTGCAGCTCCTGAGCATTTCCCGAAGCTGCCTCTTTCCGGATGAATGCTGCTCGCACTCTGCCTGTCTC